ATACCTCTCAAGCAGAAGTGGTAGCTCTCACCTCAGAGAGGGGGTCATCCAGGCCTGTGACAGGTCTCAGGCTCTGAACTGTCATTGCCAGAGAGGACTTTGCTTGGTTGAGGTGTGGCTTTGCTTCTCTATTTATGTTCTTTTCCTGCCCTGGTTGAATCCTTGCTGCATCCGCTCCACCCCTTGCTCTGCCTAGGGGCTTCTGGCTTATGCGAGGCTTCGGGGTGTGGGGCTGTGTGAGGATGTGTGGCTGTGGACAGGATTTAGATAACTGCTTTTCGTCATTTTTTGAAAATCGCTTATTTCAATCCTCAAAGCCATATTAGAGATTGTTGCTCAAAAGCTACCAAGGAGGGGCCAGGCCAGGTGGCAGGTTCAGGGCCAGGTAAAGAAGACTAAGGCTGACCTGGCTCTCATGATTGCCCAACCCTAATCTCTCCAGCCCTTCACCTCCAGCCCTGTTTCCTAAACTCCCACTTTCAGATGCTGCAGCTGGTTCTGCAAGCTCACCCAATGGAGAAGGCTCTGTGTGCCCTTAGGTGCCAGCGGGGCAAGGGAGCACAGGAGAGCCTGCTACAGGGCACAATCCCAGACAAGAATTTTTTTGCAAGACAAGGCAAAGCCATGCCAGGAATAGATGCTCAGCCCTACAATCCCGGCACTGGGGTGGGGGTAGGGCTGAAGGAGGAGGATTGCTGTGAGTTCCAGGCTAGCTTGAGCTATGTGGTGAGTCCTTGTCTCAAGAGGTAAAAAAAAAAAAAAAGTGAAAGCAGGCACACGAATAAGCAGGTGCAACTTGAGCCCTCAGGGTCAAACATGGAGGAGGGTCGGTAGCTAGCCGAGGACCATCTGACCTCTGGATGGAGGGTTCTGGAGCAAGGGGGCAGGAGACCCTGCTGGAGCTGGAGACATGGGGAATATCTGAGCTGTGCCTTCAGGCATGGGAGGTGAAACCGTGTCTCGTGTCTATTGGGCTCCTGACCTGGGAATACCCATGCCATCAATGTGGGTGCTGAGCAGGAGAGAAAGGGACTCCCTGGGCAGGCTGGGAGAGGCACTAGGGGCACCATAGAGGGCCAGACTTGGTTTCATGCCTCTCTCTCTTGATCCATCACCTGAGAGTGAGGGTTCCTACCTGTTTGGTGTTCCACATCAGTACACAGGACAGCCTCCTCTACCATTTGGCCATCCAGACAGCCAGCTGTGGAAGCACAGTCCACCCTGACTGACACACTTGCCTCTGAGTGGTGTCCTCGCTGCTGTCTGCTTGGCCCAGGTCACGGGTGCCTTCTCTGCTCTGGGCTCTCTCGGGCCATCTCTCTAGCCCCTGGAGCTTGGATGCCAGCAGCCCATGGGGACTAGGCTTGACTCAGCTCTTCTCTCTGTTCTTCCCTGAGACGATTTGGAGCAAAAGATCCTGCAGGTGTTGAGTGATGCTGACGGCCCTGTGAAGATTGCCCAGCTGGTGAAGAAGTGCCAAGTGCCCAAGAAAACACTCAATCAAGTCCTTTACCACCTGAAGAAGGAGGCCAAAGTGTCCTCTGTAGCCCCTGCAACATGGCTCTTAGGCGGGGATGCTTCTGCAGAAGAGCCTCCTGCAGCCCCTGAGGACCCCACTGCCCAGCCTAGTCTCGGTACTCTGTCATTGTAGGGCAGAGCAGACCTCTCCCCCACCCCAGCTTAAGAGCTATCTTGGCAATGGGCAAGCCCAGACTCAGGTTTGGTTTCAAATCTCTGTCTCTTGACTTCTTCTGGACAGTGGAGGTAATGTAGAGCCTAGGGCTTGTGTATAGTAGTTGTGCAGTTAAAGACAGATTCCAGGCAGTAGTTATACTGACAGTGAGTGCTGGTTGTAAGGATTTCTTCCAGAACTTTATAGCTATGGAGCAGAAAGGACCCACAGTTCCAAGTGCTGACACTGTACCCAGAGTTACCCAGCCCCAGAAGGAGACAGGAAAGGAAGCCTCAGGACCCCAACTTTCAGCAGCTAGCAGCTATGACCCAAGCAGATGGGAAGCCCTGGAACACCAGACCAGTGTCCTGTCCCCTCAGGGAAATAGGGTCACATCTACTGCTGAGGCTCCACAGGAGTCTCAGAGGCCAGATTCACTATTAGAAGACAAAGTTCTAATTGGCCAAGACATGGGCACTGCTGTGCTAGCCTGAGCCAGCCTCTAGGATGAGAGCCTCAGTTCTATATCTGGTGCAGATGACCACTGTACCCAGTATGGCCATGTGCTTCTGACAAGCCAGGCTCCTGGGCTTTATTAAGTGTCTCAGGCCACATTCAGTGGGTGATGGGCAGATTGCAAGCCCAGGACCCTCTTCCCATGAAGTGCCTGCCTCTCACTTTGCAGATGAAAGAATCTTCAGATTCCTGGAGGCCAACGGCCCCTGCAAGGCCCTGCATATCGCCAAGGCTCTGGGAATGAAGACTGCCAAAGACGTGAACCCACACCTGTATGCCATGAGGAATAGCCACCGTCTGAGCTATGATGGCCAGATGTGGACAATCTATGGCCCAAGTTGGGAAGGCCCAGAGCTAGGTATGAGAGGTCAAAGTCAGTTTGGGGAGGCCAGAGCTCAAGGGTCTAGGGTCAGGTTGGTCAGGGAAGGTCAAAGTTCAGGTCAGGAAGGTCGAGGCTCAGGACTTGGTCATCCAGGGTCAGGTTGAAAAAGTCAAGGTGAAGGATTGGATGGTCTACGGTCAGATCTTTTTGTTAGTTTTTGTTTTGTTTTGTTGTTTATGAATATTATTTTATCCATGAGTGTTTTGCCTGCATGCATGAATATGAATTACATGCATACAGTGTCTGCAGAGGCTAGAAGAGGGAATCTCCTGGCTGGGATTGGAGTTACAGATGGCTGTGAGCTGCCGTGTGGGTGCTGAGTGCTGGGTCTTCTGGAAGAGCAGCCAATGCTCTAACCACTTAGCCACCTCTCCAGCCTTAGGGTCAGATTTTACATCCTCTTTTGGGAGGGATTCCAAGGGAGAGGAAGTATTAAAGAGGCTGTCTAGCTCCTGGCTAGACCTCATTCACAGTGCCCATAGGCTTTCCGGCTATTGGGGGAAGGGTTATAGTGTAGATGACAACTGGATTTTAAACACTGGGACACGTGCAAATCTTTAATAAAATCAATGGAGCCAGACAAAACATATGAGGTTTCTTGTAGCCATTGCTGAGGAGAGAAGAGCCTAGAGATCCACAAAGGGAACCAAGGGCCCTGAGGGCTACAGATGTGGAAAGTCTGGAGGGAGGAACACACTGGAATTGCCTGGACACAGGGGTAATGACTCTCTGAGCACTTTATCCAACTTGGGGGTTTTAGTCACTGAAACAGATGATGGTGCAGAGCGCTTATTCTAGCATTCAGGAGGAAGAGGGTTAAGAACTGCAAGTTCAAAACCAGCTTTAACTACAAAACTCCCCACACAGCCCAAGCTGATAAATAAGTGAATAAGATTGTTTAAAAAGGGGTACTGGGCTGGGCTTGCATAGCAGTCTGGAGACCTCAGGAGATCCCTAGGTATAGCGATACCAGATCTGAGCCCCAGTGCTTTCAGGGACCCCAAAAGGTTCTTTTTAAATGTCTTTGATTGTTTGTTTGTTTGTTTGTTTGTGACAATCTCATGTAGCTCAGATGACCTTGAACTCCTGATCTCCCTGCTTCCACCTTCCAAGTGCTGGAATTACAGGCATCTGTCACCATGCCTGTAACTTATGGAGAAAGGCGTTTACAGAGGTGCACAGGCCTCGAACCTGAGTAGGCATGTGGTCCTGTGGCAAACAGTGCAGGTGCTGGGCTTGGCTGGTGTGGACCAGCTGCCTGTCTGTCTCATGTGGTTCTCAGCTGTTGGAGGAAGAGTGAAAGTATGGATGGCAGTGTTTAAACAGGAGGACATATCCAAATCTTCAGTAATGTCAATAGAGCCCAACAAAACATATGAGGCATTTTCTAGCCATCCCTGAAGTGAGAGGAGCCAGAGGCTCAACACTGAGAGATCTGACAACAGGGACAGGGTAGGGAGAGAGCAGGAGACTCTGGCATCCTCCCGGTGGGCCACTGTGGCTAGGACACACAGCTAAGGCACCTGTGCCAGGGACTTTGGGAGAAGTCCAGCTGAGGTGCCACTGTGCCCATCAAACACGACGAAGGCTGGCTGTGGCCAGCCCCAGGTAGTTCTTGAATCTTACCCTGCACCCCCTTTCTTGGGCCCCCAGGATGGGGTCTGGGCTCTTGCTACAGCAAGCTCCCAGAGAAGTTTAGTTTTGTCTGTAGGAGAGCCCTATGTCCTTGAGACAGGAACTCAATGGAATATTATTCTGTAGCTCATTCTGGAGTCCGAGAACGGTCCACTGCGATCATTTACCAGCAGAATCCAGTCAACATGATCTGCCAACAAGGAGCCAACAGCCACATCTCCATTGCCAACTCAGAAGCCATCCAGATTGGGCACAGGAATGTCATGCAAATGCAGATAGCCTGTGATGAGCTTGGTAAGAGAAGGGTGCTGGCAGGGACACCTGCTGGGCCTGAGTGGGGAAAGAAACTGAAAGGTGGACTTGGTCCTCCGTGGAGAAGGCAACTCGCTTATCTCCACAGCCTTCAGCATGGCCTTTCTCAGAATGAGAAGCAGAGATTACACCTCAAGGAGATCCAGTCCATCTGTAGGAGAATGATTCAGCAAACTCTATCTTAGCCGGACACGGTGGGAGGGCAACCACCTTTCTCTGCTCTGCACACATAGCTAGCCATAAAAAAAATTTAAAAAAAAGGGGGGGGTCATCTTGCACTCAGTGGCTCCCTATCTATCTATGGATCTCTCTGCGTGTGTGTTTGTGTATGTGTGTATTTGTGTGTGTGTGTGTGGTCCTGTCAGGTATCCTGTTCTGTTATACCCCATCCAGACAGGGTGACTGAACTGAACTGGAGCAAGACTTGCAGCCAGTAATCCCCGCAATCCTCCTGTCTCAGTGTCACCCAGCACTAGGGTACAGGTGTGGGAGGCCATGCCTGGCTCTTTCTGTGGATGCTGGGATCCAAACTCAGGTCCTCAAGCTTGCACAGCAATGCTCTTACTGGGATAGCCCATTCCCAGCTATCCCCCGGCCTCAGGATCCTAGTTTTGATGAAAGTTGGTGCTGTTCAGTGAGTGTTTCTTCTGTAATAGGCATGTAAGGGTGTGGAGCCACCTCTCACTCTGGCCTTGTCACTCATGCACAAGAGCACCAGTCCCAAACCCAGATTTTCCCCATGCCCTTGGGAGACATTTGTTCTACTGCAGGCCTGTTTCCCCAACCATGGCTCTCCTGGTTTTGATGGCTCTCTCATTTTACTTACGGATGTTAAATGGCTCACCATTTTTTTTTTCAGACTTAAATGTGTTTGAAAGTTTTTGTATTCCCTTAATTTGAAAAATTATAAGAGTGAGCCTAAAAGTGAGCACTGGAGAAATAAAACCAGGGCAAAGACCGGAGAGAGCGGGAGACTCCGGCATCCTCCCTGTGAGTCACTGTGGCTAGGACACACAGCTAAGGCACCTGTGCCAGGGACTTCGGGAGAAGTCCAGCTGAGGTACCACTGTGCCCATCAAACACAACGAAGGAAGGCTGTGGCCCCCCATGTCAAGAGGCATGGAGGACTTGCCTGGGGGGAGGGGAAGGGGCTTGCTTTCTTTTGGTGGGGTCAAAGGTTGAGGAGACCCAGGAGACAGGTGCCCCAACTGTACCCTGAACCCAGCCGAGAATGCTGCAGACTGCAGCCTGACCCCAGCTGTCTCTGGTGCCCTGAGCCTTAGGACAGAGCCATGTGGACTCTCTAGCAAATCCTAAATACTCTCCCCGTCCCAGGTCCCAGGCCCCCCCATCATCTCCCTCTACCTGTGCCAGAGGACCCCTCTGCTCAGGGCATCACGCCTGGTGCCTTTGGATCTCAGCATATCCACATGGAGAGGTCCCTGCTCCGGCGAGTGCAGCTGGGCCACGGCAATGAAATGAGCCTCCAGAGGGATCCAGCGGAACACACCACTTACAGCTTTACTGGCAGCCCCCCAGGTACTGTGGCCTCCACCACCCAGTCATCACCTGCAAAGTGGATGCTGAGAGGGAGGAAGACAGATCACAGGGGCAGGCAGAGGCCTGGATGGTGGTCTAAGGAAATGGCGAGGGAGGCCAGCAGTGAGCTGGAATAACAGTGCCCCCGGTGGTGGCACAGTGACTCCAGAACCTGGCCGGAGGCCGGCCAGGCACTGTAGATTCTTCAATGGCCAGAGGTCTCAGGGGGACTAACACAGGCAGGGAGGAGTCCCCCCAGAGAGACATTGGTCGTGGAGTAGGGCACAGCAGTGGGATCAGCAAACAGGGCACAGTGGTGGCCTTCTGTGACAGTTTCTGGGAGTGAAGGGAACCCATCACTAAGGGTGGATGTTTCCTGACCTTTGAGTGTGAAAATGAAGAGGAGTCCCTGGGATTCTGGAAGCCAGAGTCCAGGGATTCTGGGGTGAGGCCAGGCTGGGAGAGGAAAGGTATGAACCATAGCAGGATAACATGTCCTTGATCTGCCACCTGGGCCCTGGCCACAGAGAAGAGGGAGGGAGGGAGGAAGAGCTCCAGAGGCTCTGAAGAAGAGGCTGAGGCCAGAGTGGTTTTGCTGAGCTTGGAAGCAGGGGTTGGTTTCCAGGCTAGTGAGAACATGTGCCGGGACATGGAGATGGGGTGCCTAGGCAGAGGGTATGGGTCAGACCTGCAAGGTCACTGGTGAAAGTCAGCGATGGGATGGGACAGCCAGGCTGGACGTAGGTGCCAGGTCCCTGGGCAACTGCTCGCTTCTCCCGGCCTCTCTCTTTGGTATACCCAAAGTCTCAGCCACCACTGCTGACCCAGGAACTTCATTCAACATGGAAACACCTGGGCCAGGCCCTCACGCTGAGGGGGATACAGCCCAGAGAGTCCATATCAAATCCAGCTTGATGGAGGACGCCATCATCGGCAACTGCAACAAGATGACCATCCACTCTGGGTCAAAGGGTGGAGTCACGGGGTCTGGAGACAGCGAGGAGCCGAAAAAAGACACTGGTGAGCCTGGGCTCAGGTGTCTGTGTGTGGCCCCACCTCATACACCCGCTAGTGCAAGGACACGGGGTCTGGAACTCAGCCAGCATGTAGCTCCAGGCTTCAGGAAGGAGGGAGGAATTTACACCAAGGTGTTGGGGAGCCGCAGAAGGACTTTGAGCAGGGCAGAAGCAGAAACTTCTTGGATTTGGAATAAGAATCACACATAAATGGTCCTACAGGTGTATATTTAGAATCGGCATGGAGAGACCAAGATGTCTGAGTGTCAAGTGGACCTCTACACACACACACACACACACACACACACACACACACACACTAAACAAACAAACGAACAAATAAATGTGAGGGAAAAAGAGTTTAACGGTTTGAGAACAAGCCATGGAAGCACGTGGGAAGTAGAAACCCACTGTGGGACACCTAGAGAACTAACCAGCAGTGACCTGAGACCTCCCTTGCTCTTTCTCTGTCCTTTTCTCTCCCTCCCCCCCCCCCCCCCCCAGATGCAAATTCTAAAGCCACACCAAGCGGAAACTCCTCCCACACTTCCAGCAACTCCATGCTGCTCACCTCTGAGCTGAGAACGGTGACTCTGGAAGACAGTGACCCCCAGACCACAAAACCTGTGCTTAGAGAGGACAGAGTCCCGGACACGGGGAACGGCCAGACTCAGGAGTGAGGTGAGAGGGGAGAGGTGGAGAGCGCATGTGCAGGCGGCCTGCAGGGCTTTCTGTGGCTGCACACTGGACTCAGACTAGGTAGGGTGTGTGTGTGTGTGTGTGTGTGTGTGAGAGAGAGAGAGAGAGAGAGAGAGAGAGAGAGAGAGAGAGAGAGAGATATTTGGATGTGATACACTCCCTGGGTAGGCACAGGTATTGACAGCTTTAGTCCCGGGCTGGGACTGATCATGATGAAGTGACAGGATCCTGAGGGCTCCAAGATCATCCACACACCAGTCTCTAGATGGAGTTACTTTCTAATGACATCACTGGGTGGGGTAGAGACCTTTAGAAGGGCGGACGAAACACATCACTGGAGACATCAGGGTCTCATGTGGTCCAGAATGGCTTTGGTTCGCTCTATATGCAAGGATGACATTGAATTTCTGATCTTGTGGCCTCCTGAGGGCTGGGATTATAGGGATGTACCACCAAATCCAGTTCATGAGGTGCCAAGGATGGAACTTCATGCATTCTACACAAGGGCTCTACCAATGCAGCCACAGTCCTGGCCTGGGCCATGCCCTTCCATCTCTCCAGCCATCTCTTCTTCCCGCCTACCCAGAGGCTAGCGTCCCTTTTCTGCTGTGTCCTTCTGTCTTGCCACAGGCCAGAAAGCAATGGAGCAATAGAACCCATAGGCTGCCACCTCTGCCACCATGAGCCAAGCCAACCTTTCCTGCCTCAAGGTCAATCAATCAGTCTATCAATCAATCAATGATATGAGCCAGCTCTGCTACACCTGGGTGTTCGCCAAAAGGGGAAAGTCAGCACAGCACAGAGATACTTGCCCATCCATGTAGATCTGGAACTGACCTTTGCTGTCCAACAGTAAAAGATGAATAAAATAATGATGTGTCATTTGTTGGGAAGGGGCTGCAGAGACCACCATGAGACCACCACCAAGTCAGTGAAAGCCATCTCAGAAAGACAGTGTCGTGCTTTTTCTCATTTGTGGCTCCTAGACTTTGCATAGATTCATATAAGGACATACATAGCTGTGACATGAAAGTAGAAGTGAACCCAGCCAGGGGAATGGAAGGGATCAACAGGAGGACAGAGGAAACACGAGGGGGTCATGGTTGATTGCGCTCTACATTTGTATGAAGGTGTAGCTCTGAAACCCAGTGCCACATACGGGGCATCATTACCCAGATAAAAAGAAAACGTGAACACAAAGTCGGCACTTCACACAGCTAGGGCTTCATTGGGCTAAAGAGCATCAAGTCCCTCAGAAAACTGATTTAGAGAATTAAGCCAGGGGCTGGTGAGATGGCTCAGTGGTAAGGGGGTTGCCTCTAAGCCCCATGTCCCAGGACATGGTTAATTGGTTAATTGGTTAATTCCCTACCCAAACCTCTTCTCCCACTATGTGGCTATGAGGCATTGTTTTGAGGACAGTGCCCCCCTAGACCCTGAACCTGCCAGTGTGACCTTAGCCCTCCAGGATTCACACACTGAACAACTTTCCTGCCATTATAACCCACCCAGGCCAGGAGTACGCAGGGCTGCTGGACCACTCTCTTCTCTCTCAAGGTTCACCAAGTCCATCCTACCTCTCTAGAGTCTTTCCCTCCTGTCCTTGATCTCACAGGATTCTTGAGCTGAACTTCCAGAGAACAAATCATCCCCCCTCCTCAATCCTTGGCCCTGTGAGAGTGACTAGTTAGCCCATGTGTCAATCAACTGGCTTTGGCCAGTCAACAAACAGGGATCACTTACTATATGCCAGATATGCCCTTGGTGAGGTGATGTCATCACATGCAGGGGGCATGGTCACTGTAAGTGTTTGGGGAAGGTCAGTGGAGCTGTTCCGGCTTTCAGACACTCCTGAACCAGACACTATCCTGCACCTGTCTGTTAGAAAACCCAATGGTCACCTGAGTGCTGAAGCTGGGACATCCAGCTCAGTGTCCGCTCATCTCTCCCACATACCCATGACCTCTACCATCCACCAGAAGCTTCTGAGCTCAGGCAGGCCCTATGCCCTTGAAGCCTGCAGTAGAAGTTTCTGGTTTCTCTGAAGACTCAGTTTTGTCATGTGATGTTTTGCTGCAAGCTGAGCATGTGATGTTTTACTGGAGGCTGGATTGTGGGAGGGCACATGATGTTTTGCTGTGAGGTTTCTCATATAAGGGGTGTGACTTTGGCCAACTGAGAACATCTGTGGGTGGACTCGGAGAAGAGAAGATATAGAGGGGCCACCATACAGTGAGGCTTCTCTCTCTGTACCAACATCGGTCCATTAATCTTTGTGCGTCGGCACTTGACTTGGAAGAAACCTTCCAGAGAACTTCTCAGTGCAATCCAACTTAGTCTTGTGGCTTTCCCTGACTTGCCGTGATGATTTGTGTTGCTGCTTGGTGTTGGCCTTTGGATTGGACTGCTGGTGTCTTGACCACTGAGTTTGGTAATCCCCTAAAGATCCATAGACCCTAATCGGCAGGAATCAGATAAAAGAGGTCTACAGCCCTTTCCCTACTAATCTCCTACCCAAGATCAGGGAGGAGATAAAGGTGTTTAAGAACCCTAAATAAAGTAGGTTTGGTGAAAAATCTACAGAAGCCTTTGAGGCACCTCCATCCGTCCTGTGCACTATTCTGCTTCCATCAACCCTGCATGCTCTCTCCCAGCCCCCACCTACCCTGCATGCTCTCTCCCAGGCTCTATCTACCTTGCACACTCTCTCCCAGACCCCACCTACCCTGCATGCTCTCTCCCAGCCTCCATACTCTCTCCATCCTTGTTGTCCACCCTCCTCCAGCCAGGCTTGCCACTCACCTCTATCGATAACCAGACTGGCCTGCTTGTTGATGACAGAATGCTGTGATACATGTGTCTGTACAACAAGGGACAAGCTGTTGCTTGTAAGTAGGGTGTTCCAGGCTTAGAGTCTGCTTCAGGAATACGTGCATCCAGTCGTCCTGGCTGACCCAGCACCTCCCCTCCCCTCTCTTTTCATTCTGCTTCTCTCTGTACTGGTAAAGATGGTTCTTGGCCATCCATCCCCTGGGCCCCAATATGGCTGCCAGTGCAAGGCGACCTCCTTCCCAATAATGAATGGCACATGTAACAGCTTTGAGTAATGTGCCATCCCTAACCAGTCATGGGCCAGAGCAATAGGTTGCTCTCCTTATTGGCCACTAGTGTTAAAAGGCTACCTCCGGAACCAGAGCACCACTACAGTCACAGAAGCTAAGGCTGTGGGAAGATAGAGGGCAGAGATGGGCCAAGGGTAGATGGGCAGATCTCTGAAGCATTCAGGAAAGAGTTTCTGGACAGGCAAGTACCTCAGGATCCACTTGAGTGGGGAATCCATGACTCATAGCCTGGTTTTCTCTGGGGCTTTTGCATTTAACCCTGGGTCCTGGGGCTACAGAGAGGGAGCATGGCAGTGGGGAGTTGGACACCACTGGCACACCTCAGCAGGAATGGTTGTGATGGGTAATGGGAGTGTGAAACCCAGGTAGGCAGCTCCTGGGCCCCAGAGCCATGCTGGGGAGCCGAGGACCCTAAGTTCTAGTCCCTGAGATCAGGTGAGGGAGGAAGTCTGGGATCTGAACCATACAACCTTAGCAGAGCATGAAACCCAGAGTAAGGCAACAGAGATGAGGGGGCATTTTGGAAACCAAGGGCAAAGGAAATGGAGATGGAAAGTTGGTGGGAGAAGGAATCAAGGCCGGAGGTTGTTTGCACAAGTCTTAGCCACAAGCCAGCCGACCTACAGATGTGTTTCCTGGGAGCCAGGTAGTAGGCCTTGCTGTGGGCTGGGATCCTGTGCCGTGGCAGTCTTCTTGGTCACAGTGGTGTGCTGCAGTCTTTAGGACAGGTGCTTTGGGACCCGCCATTGTCAGTGCAAGCTAAGTGCAGGAGAGGCTGGCTCTCCCGGTCATCTTCCTCCTCCACCCAGCTGAAAGCCAGAGGCAGATCTCAGAGCTGGCTCGAGGTCCATAGTTAGCAGGACCTGTGTATGGGGAGCGAGCTGCAGCTCCTGAGCTTGCCCAAGCAGAGTCCTTGCTGCCTGGCGCAGTTTCCCCCTCTGCAATTCATTTGTCATAAATGCGCTGACAAAGCGCTGCATGGCTAATGGAGGCTGGAGGTGAAGGGCAAAGCCATCTCTCAGGGGAGGAAATTAACGAGGTGCCATTAAAAGCAAGAAGTGATTGAGTCAGCTCGATCTCCCCCCTCAGCTCAGGAGCCCTCCTGCCCCCTCCCTCAGGATGAGGCGTGAACTTGGCTTTTGGATGGGGGATGTGCCGTCCACTCTACCTGAAATGGCTTCTCATTCCAGGTGCTCAATGGGCCCTTGAAACCTGTGCTTTCAGCAGACAACATGTAGCTCTGTAGGCTGACAGGAAGAAAGGCAACCAGGGAGCTCATCCAGGGTCATGTTGGTTTTGTGTGTCAGAAGTTTCACCTACTTAGGGTCAACCAAGGGGGAATGGCCCCAGAGCTCATAGGATACTGGGGTTCAGGAATGGCTGTATCCAGGCACTCAAGCCTTTGCTCAGCCTTTGTCCCCACCAGCTTGCTTCCCCTGTGACTGCCATCTACCTACGGCCAAGCCCCTCCCATTAGTTATCAGAGACTTCAAGTAGAAAAAATGTCCCACAGAAGGTTCTGATTGGTTGGGACCTGGTCACATGCTGATCCTGAATCAATCAGAGTTCAGAACAATAAACGATTGCTTTGGAGCCAAAATCATTTCCTGGTGGTAGGAAGAGATGAGGTTTCTTTGTGAGGTGTGTCCCAGGAAGAAGGAAAGACAGAAATTTTAGGCTGACAGAAACCAGGGCCCATTCCAGCCATGGCTGTGAAAGTTTCTAGAAACCCTGAGAATACAGCCAAACTTTCTTAAAAGGACGAAAAAACATCCGTGGGGAGGTGAGGCTCTCTGAGTAGTGGCACAGATTCAGGCTCAGCAGAGGCCTCCCTGTGGATTCAGGGCTGCAGCGGCCTTATGCAGAGAAGACAGAGTAGCTCAGAGAACAGCTTACGGTGACAGTGGCCCTCCCTCGGTCTCTCACACTTCTTGCCCCACACCGGAAACGATTGTGATGACAGACCAGGCATTTCAGGGAGGGTTTGCTTTCCACGCTGGTGTTTACGGCAGCTAGGCACACACTCTGGCACTCAGCTGCAGTTTTACGCTGGGCACAGTGTGTGACACCTTGGAACCACAGTCAGCCTGGCGCAGGATGCCTAGGGGACAAGGATGGGAGCCTGTGTGTCACAAGCGGAAGAGGACGTATTTTCTGTGTGGCACAAGAGCTGGAAGTGATGATTTACAAAAGGTTTGTCAGACAGCATCCTGGATCCTTTAACTGTCAACATGATACAACTTAGAATCACCCGGGAAGAGAATCGAAGTGGGAAATTACCAACCTGGGAGTACATCTCTAGGGGATTGTCTTGCTCGAGTTAATAGAAAACCCAGCCCACCGTGGGCAGCACCATCCCCTAAACATGGCAAAGTGAGCTGTGTAAGAGTAGAGAAATCTAACCGAGCACAAGCAAACACGCATGCATGCGTTTCTCTCTGCTCTTGGCTGCAGATATGATGTCACTGAATTGCTTCCATCTCCTGCCTGGACTTCCCCACAATGGTGGACTGTATTGTGGACTCATAAGATGAACAAATCCCCGTTCCTTCTAAATTGTTTTCAGAAATGGAATTAGGACAGCTGGAAAAGTTTTACTTATAGAATGGATAACAATGGGTGGGGGCAGGAGGGTGTGTGTGAAAGAGAAAGAGAGATAGAGACAGAGAGAAAGAAGTGTCTAGGGGATCAGGTTTCTAGGGTCTCTTAAGCACAACATGTAGAAAGGTAGAAAC